CGTTGTAATTGTTGACACATCTGAATTTTTTCTGTTCAGATATCGGAGTGGAATCCGTGGCTACATGAAATCTGTGGTTCTCGATCTGTTGAAGCGCTACCTGCAGGTAGAGATGCAGTTTCAGCAAGGTAACATCAGCACCCCTTCAGGTTTTATGTCACCTCTTCTTTATTGCAATTGCAGCTCCGTTATAATGGAAATGCTTTTATTTATTATTATTTTTTGGGTCCTTAACAGCTCACTATGATAAGTGTGTCATCAACCTGAGAGAGAAGCACAAACCTGACATGAGTCCTGTCCTCGACTACATCTTCTCTCATGCTCAAGTATCCAAGAAGAACGTCCTGGTCACAATACTCATTGTAAGGCTCTCATCGTTTTTCACTGAAGCAAACCTGATAACCGTTCATCCTGCACAAAGTCACGTGGACGGACAGTGATGAAGGTTTGTCTTTAACTTTGTATAGGATCAGTTGTGTGGACGGGATCCCACTCTGGCAGATGAGCTCATGGCTATTTTGAATGAACTCACACAGCTTAGCAAGATGGAGAACTCAAAGGTAGCCTTGAGAGCTAGACAGGTAAGAGAGCTTGCATTGAGTTTTGCTATTTATTTTTAATATAGTAAACCTTCTAGAGGGAGAGAGAAGCAAAAACTGTAGGAATGTCCAAATCAACAGTCTGTCTCGTTCTTAAAAAGAAGGTCTGCACTGACCAGCCCAGCAACACCAAAAGGCCTGAAAGACCACAAGAGACAAATAAATTGGATGGTGACAGAATTTTTTTTCTGTGGTTAAGAAAATAATGTCTCAAAAAAAACCCTCAAGAACAACAAGGTGCAAACCGCTGGTTACACTCAGGAACACGAAGGCCAGATTGGAATTGGCCAGAAAAGATGCTGCACCTTTGTGGCAGAAAATTCTTTGAACAGATGAAACCAGAATGAACTTGTACCAGGAAAAATATGGAGGAGGATCCAAAGCATTATCTATAAACATGGTGGAGACAAAGCTATGGCATGGGCATGTATGGCTTCCAGTAGAACTGGGTATCTAGTGTTTATTGATGATGTGACTGCTGATAGACACGGCAGGATGAATTCTGAAGTGTACAGGCCTGTACTCTCTGCAAACTGGTAATGATCCAAAGCGTACTGCAAACACAACCCAAGAGTTTGTCAAAGGCAAATAAATGGGATATTCTTCCGAAGAAGAAAAAAGTTTTGTTTTCCTTCCCCCCCAGAAATCTTTCATTGGCCAAGTCTGTCACCTGATCTCAACCCAACAAAGCAGCTTTTCAGTTATTAAGCTGAAGGTGTCTGTGGTGTAAGCCTGGCAGAGCATTTTAAGGGAGGAAGCAAAGCCTTTTGTGATGTTCATGAGTTCTAGACTTTCAGGCAGCCACTGACTTCTAAAGATTTTCATCCAAGGATTAAAAACAGTTCTTATATATAAAATTATGTTAGTTTGTCCAGTTATTTTGAGCCTCTGAAAATGGTGGACTGTGCATAAAAACTACTATAATTAGTAGTAAACCCATAGAATTAAAGATGAAAGTCGTCACTTCGATCGTGTCAAGGTTTTTGATTAGAAATCCACTGTGGTGATTGACAGAAGCAAAGCTACATGATTCTGTCTTTGTCCAACAAATTACAGATCTAACTGCATATGTTTTGTTGAAGTTTGAATAATCATGCATCTGCTTTAAAGTTATTTTATTTGACTATGTTGTTATAGTATTTGCAAATATCTCATAGGTCCTGATTGCTTCTCATTTACCATCATATGAACTGAGACACAACCAGGTGGAGTCAATCTTCCTGTCAGCCATTGATATGTATGGTCACCAGTTCTGTCCAGAGAATTTGAAGGTTGGCTTTGTGTTTTGTATTTAAAAAAAAAAAACAAAACGTCTTTGTTACATCACTTTAGAGCAGCACATTTATACCGTGAATGATAAATATATATTTTTATTTGCCACAGAAACTCATTCTCTCTGAAACCTCAATTTTTGACGTTTTGCCCAACTTCTTCTATCACTCCAATCAAGTTGTATGCATGGCTGCTTTGGAGGTATGGTTAGTGCATTCACACAGACATTTTCTGTCTTATGCGTTTTTATTAAATGGTCATTCTGTTGTTCTGTCTTGACTTTCAGGTGTACGTCCGCAGAGGTTACATCGCCTATGAGCTAAACAGCATCCAGCATCACCAGCTGCAGGATGGAACATGCGCTGTAGACTTTCAGTTTATGTTGCCATCATCACATCCAAACAGGTGACACTTTTACTTCACACCGAGCCACGGACGAATCAAATGATATTCTCTAATTTCTGAGTCACGAATGAGTCACTACCACCTCCAAATTTGACCACATATTTCCTCTTTGTAGCATCCGAGGATGTAAGCTTTCTCTTTCTCTGTGGAGATCATTCACTTGTATTGATGGGGATTCTTTAAAGAGACTTTTCATATGAAATCCAGGCCTTAAAAACATAATTTAGGTGTCCTCTGTGCAATGGTGGCTTGATCGATTACCGGTAATCCAGAAAAGAAATGTTCACCTGTCCCCATGGGGTATAGGTGCAGTGCCACCCTGGTGCTGTGAAGTAACATATGGCTAACCCTGAATGCAGTTTTGCCATACTTGACTTTGATGTGAATGTGCTTAGTCTCTTTAAAATTGCTTCAGTCTAATCTATTACCAGACGTAGTAGACATACAGTTTGATCATGCACTGCTAATATTCACCTGTTAATCATCTTATTTCAGAGGGAGCAGCCCTACTCTGAACAGGTAGAGTAAAGCTCCTCCCAAACAACCAAACCACCGTATCCTCTGTTTGTCTCACAGCAATGCATGCTGGATGCATCATGTTGCTTTTTCCTTCTGCCCAGATACATTTGCTTAAGAACTGATTTGTCCTTTTAAATTCACTTTTATGCTGAACTGGGCCATCTGATTTTTTTTTTCTGCTTCTTTCAACATGTAAAGCATAGCTGGGCTTTTTAAGAGGCACATTTTCAGCTATTTTTTCATGTTCCTCTTAAAAACCTCAGGCCTTAAATTACATTAGTTGTTACCTAATGGCCAGCCTGCATTCTCCAACCTTTAATTTGCAAATCTAAAACCCGATATAGTAACAGTTGCTCTGGATTACAACAGCTCATAATCCCTTTCAGCTCACTTCCTGGTGGGGAATCGGCTTTGAACTGAGCCGGACTTGAGTCATGCATCTCCTGACATCACTTGGACTTTAGCTGATGACTTGACTTGGCGATCCTCCCTATACTCCGAGATAAAAATACATTACTTAGCTAATCAGCCAGACAGCAGATAATCGGGCCACGTAAGCAGAAGACAAAGGTGCATGCACATAGGCACATAATAAAATTCAGGCAGTAAAACATTTTGGTAATCAGAATTACAATGTCTATATTCCATAATTTAAATGACCGAGTATTGTGCAAAAGTCTTGAGCCACCCCTTGTTTTGTCATATTTTGTTTCCAAGGAGCCAGACTTCATTTTATTGTGCTTTTTTTTTTTTTCCTTTTCCAAAGTGGTCTTGGTCAACAGTTATTCTGGCTTTCTGGAGGACTTTCAAAGTTTTTCTTTGAAATTGGCGGCTTTTTCACTTATTTTCAGTTCAATCCTAATATCTGATTATTTTCAAAGGTGATTGCCAAAGGAGCTATTAGCTGAAAACTTGGCATATCTTGCCATGCTATGCAGTGTGTCCTTAAAAAGAAAAGAGGAAACTGGAAAAAGAAGTTTCAAGCCTTAAAATAACAAACAAAAACCCTACAGCTGGTTAAGTCTTTGTCAGGAAAAAAAAATCCACCCAAGACTGTCAAAGACTGACTGTAAAGGATACATTCTTAGGAAAGGGGAACAGGGAGAAAAGGCTGATGTTCACTAAATTACACGAGAACTGAACTGAATATCAGCAGCAACAGATCTTTTTTTTTTTTTTTTTTTTGAGTGATGGACCCATATTTGACATTTTTGCTTCAAATCATCATCAATGTGTACAGAGGAAGTCAGGAGAGAGGAACAGTGAGTGTACACAGCCCTCTGTGGGTGGAGGCGCAGTTGTGATTTAGGGCTATATTTCCATCAGTGGTGTTTGGAATCTTGTCAAAATAGTCCTACTTGCATGACAAGGATCCCAAACACACTGTCAGTGCAGTAAAAGCAGACCTGGATTAAAAAAACCCACAGTCCCACACGCACTATCAGTAACGGATTGGCCTCCCAGGAACCCAGACCTCAACATAATTGAAGCAATGTGGGGTCATCTTCACAGAGAACAGAACAAAAGGTAGCCAACATCCAAAGAAGAGCTTTGAATGTCCTTTAAGAAGCCTGGAGAACTATTCCTGTAGACTACATAAAGATATTAGGAGAAAGTTGCCTGAGAGAGTTCAGACAGTGTTGATGAATAAAGGTGGTCTCACCTTTACTTTCAAGCTTGTCAGAATTGTGCAGACTCAGTTTTTGCCTTATATACTGTTTTTCCACGTATGTTTGCACATTTCAGCAAAATATGAAGAAATGAGTGGCAGTTTAAGACTTCATCACTGTACAAAATCTGATACTAACAGGTTCTGTCAGTTGTGTGTGTGTGTGTGTATATATATATATATAACCTATTACCCACCCTTACTGGATGACTGAGAACTTTATGCTTAGGACTTGTAACCTTAAAAAAATCCTTTAAGCTGCCTCTGCTATCACCTGTATGCAATTCCAATATGATCTGATGGTGGTGACACTCTGTAATTTGTTTATAAATAGACAAGACGAGTTATCCACTCTTGCTTTAATTGCTCTCTTTATGAATTTTTGGGCATCTTGTTCGTTGTCACCTCATTGTCCAGTGGTTTTGACTTATTTTTAAATGTGTTGTGGGTTTTTTTTTCTTTTTTTTTTAAGGGTTCCTGTGCCAGTCAGTGGATCAGGCCAATTTAAATTGAGAAGGCAGGGCAGTGAGCTCCTCCTGGATGGAGCCTTGTCTCCACCGTGCCAGCGAATGGGGGCCATGGTGGCTTTCCAGTGTTTTGATGACTTCAAAAGGTCTATTTTTTTTTTTTAATTTTATTTTATTTTTTTGGATTTGATGAATTATCTCAAAGTGAAATTAATCAAATGTTAATGTCTTTCTTTTGGTTTTGCAGGAATTTTGATGAAGTTCTTTCCAGTTTTGCTGAGCCACTTATGGAGAATACTCCTTTCTCTGAGTCCTGCTCCAGCTTCTACGATGAGGAGCACTTCAAGGTGAGCGGCTGTGACTGTATAAGGAGGACGGGGCTTAACAATAGTTAGACTGTTTTAATCTATATGTGCACGCTCTGAGTTCTCTTTTATCTCCTGCAGAGTGCCAGGGAGAACCCAATCCACATCATTAATGTGTCCATAAAAACAGCAGACACAGAAGATGACGATGCCTTGGTCCGAGCCTTTACTGCCTTTGGACAGTCAAAGGTTACCAACCAAATCTAAAAGCATTCTTCTTTTAAATAGCAGATCACAGTTTTCCTTTTAAATTTTTAGTGATTTTGACTTTTTATTTTATTTTATTTTTTTTACAGAAAGCTATTCTCTTCGAGTATGGAATAAGGAGAATCACCTTTCTGATTGTACAGAAGGTAATTGTGTATCTTATGTGCAATGCATCATGATCATAGATGGCTTTAATTTCATTCACATATCACTTTTCATAAAATCAAGATTTGGGGGGGTACTTGCCTTGACTAAATCCTATTGTTTGTGTTTTTCCATTTTCATTTCATTTTCCATTTGGAAAGTCCTTGCAGGCTACTTTTTACTTTGAAAGGCTGCAGTCTAATTATTGTTTTAAATTTTCATTTAAACAGAGAGAATTCCCCAAGTTCTTCACATTCAGAGCTAGAGACGGGGTAAGTGTTTTTAAACAACCTGCATTTACAGAGCTGACATGTCATTTCTAAGGAAACGATGACTGAATCTGTGCTTCCCTTCAGTTTCAGGAAGATCGTATTTACCGGAATCTCGAGCCAGCTTTGGCCTTTCAGCTGGAGCTCAACCGAATGAGGAACTTTGACCTGACAGCTGTTCCCTGCGCCAACCACAAGATGCACCTCTACCTGGGAGCTGCTCGTGTTCAGGAGGGTGCTGAAGTTACGGACTACCGCTTCTTCATCCGAGCAATTATCCGCCACTCAGATCTCATTACAAAGGTAAGTAAACAGAACAAATTTTGACTTTTGTTTTATATGTCCAACAAGATGAGAAATGTGCTTGTAGCATGTGTTATTTTTCTGTTTGAAAAAGATTTTTGCACTCAAAGAACTTAAAGCCACTACATGTTTATTAATAACCAGGAAGCTTCATTTGAATACCTCCAAAATGAGGGAGAACGTCTGCTGTTGGAAGCCATGGATGAGTTGGAGGTGGCCTTCAGTAACACCAGTGTTCGCACAGACTGCAATCACATCTTCCTCAACTTCGTCCCCACTGTTATCATGGACCTATCTAAAGTCAGTGTTCTGCAATCTCTATTGCAGTACATCTTCACAATAAGTTATTAAGACAAAAATATGCATAAAGTTCTCGAGATTATAGTATATTTTATTTTGGTGAATAAATTGTGCTATGACTTTTTTTTTAATATGCACTACATAATATTAGTGTTTTATCAGTCTTTCAGGTATGATTCTCTCTTTCATAAATGTTTTACTGCTTTTAATATTTTACTTCTTGTTTGTTACTAATATTTTGTTGTATCAGTAGTCCACATTCACAGATTCGATACCTAAACCGTGACCTGTAAAGCCTTCAGACTTCACATGTAACATGCTTGCTTGTCCTGATCTTTGATTTATCAGATCGAGGAGTCTGTCCGCTCCATGGTGATGCGATATGGCAGTCGCCTTTGGAAGCTGCGCGTCCTTCAGGCAGAGCTGAAGATCAACATCCGCCTTACACCGACTGGGAATGCCATTCCCATCCGCCTGTTCCTTACTAATGAATCTGGCTATTATTTGGATATCAGCTTGTATAAAGAAGTCACTGACCGAAGTTCTGGACAGGTGAGGACAGAGTGTTTAGCTTTTTTTTTTTTTTTTTTTTTTTTTTTTTTTTTTTCCCCCCTCTTTTTAAACCACCAGGCGTTCATATTTTATTTTTCACGGTCATACAAATGTAAAAAATCAACTTGCCAATTTTCCCTTCTCAGATCATGTTTCAGTCATATGGGGATAAGCAGGGTCCCTTGCACGGGATGTTAATCAACACCCCCTATGTGACAAAAGACCTGTTGCAGGCCAAACGCTTCCAGGCTCAAACTCTGGGTACTACATATGTCTATGATTTCCCTGAGATGTTCAGACAGGTACTGTTAGCTCACTGATTTACTTATTTCAGTCTCTGATGTTCTGATGTTGTCTAAGCTCACTGCGAAACTCTTCTCGTAGGCGTTATTGAAGCTTTGGGGTCCAGGGGACAAATGCCCAAAGGATGTGCTGATGTGCACTGAGCTCGTCCTGGACCCTCAAGGCCGACTGGCGCAGATGAACCGCCTGCCTGGAGACAACGATGTAGGATTTTTGTTTTGTTTTGTTTGTTTGGTTTTAAAGATCATTTTCGTCAAAGGATGTTTCTTTAGTGATGCTTTTACCGATTATAGTGATTCTCCTCCAGGTGGGAATGGTTGCTTTCAGGATGAAAATGAAAACTCCGGAGTACCCAGAGGGCCGAGACATTATTGTCATCTGTAATGACATCACTCACATGATTGGCTCATTCGGCCCTCAAGAGGACGAGCTGTTCGTCAGAGCCTCGGAGCTGGCTCGCACAGAAGGCATCCCCCGAATTTACCTTGCAGCCAACAGTGGGGCGCGCATTGGCCTCGCTGAAGAAGTCAAACACATGTTCCACGTGGCCTGGATTGACCCCGCTGACCCCTACAAGGTCCCTACACGTGTTCACTTTGTGAAAGCAGATGAAATAACCACTGATTATTGCAGCTCTTATTTTACATTTATAGTGGGTTGTTTTTGTTTTTTTTCTTCTTGCAGGGTTTCAAATACCTTTATCTGACACCTCAGGACTACACCCGTATCAGCGCCACCAATTCTGTTCACTGTCAGCATGTAGAAGAAGGTGGAGAGTCCAGGTACGATCTGTGCTCAAAGGAAGTTGCAAAGTATTTGACATCCTTTACTTTTTGGATGCTTGTAAAGTATTTTACATATTCATTTCTTATGTTGTGGCTCCTTGTTGTTTTCTTGGACTTACATTTTAAGGTAAAGACGTTACAACATTACAGTTTTATTAAAGAAATATTCAACGAGCATAGAGAGACAAACGACAAGCAAGACAAATCACAAACTACAGTTTGTTAATAACAGGCAAGAGTGGGAATAAAAGGCTTGTTCATTGAAATCTAAAATATTTAACTGAAATCTAACTAATCTGAACTGATTTGAATGATAGAGATTTTTCACCTGTTTCAGGTACATCATCACTGACATTATTGGGAAGGACGATGGTCTTGGTGTTGAGAATCTGCGAGGCTCAGGCACTATTGCTGGAGAATCTTCTCGGGCCTATGAAGAGATCGTTACAATCAGTCTGGTGAGAACATGGATCTGATTTTAAGCAGCAGCATGCCAGAGTCCCTGAGATTTTCATGTAAGCCTGTTGGTGCTCTTGCAGGTGACATGTCGTGCTATTGGAATTGGAGCTTATCTGGTCCGTTTGGGGCAGCGAGTGATTCAAGTAGAGAACTCTCACATTATCCTGACGGGGTCAGGTGCTCTAAACAAGGTTAGTAAGTCTAATCAGTTTTTCGCTCATCCAGCTAAAGGACCAATGGGCTCATGCATGGTGTGCTGTCTGTCCATCTGTCCCCAAGAAGGAAAAATAAAAGTGTCAGTTCCTGTTTCTCTCCAGGTTTTGGGCAGAGAGGTGTATACTTCCAACAACCAGCTTGGCGGAGTTCAGATCATGTACAATAATGGAGTCACACACACCAGTGTGCCAGATGACTTTGAGGGTGTCTTTACTATCCTGCAGTGGCTCTCTTACATGCCAAAGGTTCTGCTGACTGAGTGAATTTCACACATTTTGTGGTCTAAATATAATCATACAATAACTCGGGCAGTCCTTCAGACCATCTCATATAGTTCTTCTGTCTTCACAGGACAAACACTCACCTGTGCCCATTATAGCAACTACAGATGCAGTGGACAGAGAGATAGAATTTACTCCCACTAAAGCACCGTATGATCCCCGCTGGATGCTAGCTGGCAGACCTCACCCGCGTAAGCTGCAAGATCTAAACTCTAAAACTTCTTTATGTCAGTAGTAGATGAAACAATTTCCTTTTTTCATTTGTGTTGTTAGTGGTGAGAGGTGCCTGGCAGAGTGGATTCTTTGACCATGGCTCTTTCATGGAGATCCTGAGTTCTTGGGCTCAAACAGTGGTGGTTGGGAGAGCACGGTAAATCTGCGCACTTGAAACGTACTTTATATGTATGCTAAATTGCAACTAGACCTTAACCACAAATTGAATGAACACAGGTTAGGAGGAATCCCCCTCGGCGTCATCGCTGTTGAAACTCGCACGGTTGAGTTCACTGTGCCAGCAGATCCAGCCAACTTGGATTCAGAATCTAAAGTGAGTGAATGTCTCTTTGCATTTTTGCCGTATAATAAAGCCATCACTCTTATTTGAAGAGCATTTAAACTCCATATTCTGTGTGTTCATGTTAGGTCCTGCAGCAGGCGGGCCAGGTGTGGTTTCCAGATTCAGCTTTTAAGACGGCTCAGGCGATTTGTGACTTCAACCGTGAACGTCTGCCTCTCATAGTGTTTGCCAACTGGAGGGGCTTCTCTGGGGGGATGAAGGGTACGCCATGAATATGCTAAACTCTGCAAACAGATAGCATGACATTTGCACAGTCTGATATTTTTTATTGTTTAGGCACTTTTAAATTAAAAGTATGGATCGCATAATGAAGTTCTATTTACAGCAAAGCTTAACAGTTTAGAGAGAAGTGTCTCATACATGTGGTGCAGGACATATATGAGGACGGTGACACAGTGTTGAGGTGTGCACCTCGCAGGATAGATGGGTTTGGAGATGGTGACATTAACAAAAAGGCAGGAGGCCTAGCTGGAAATATTCAGACTTTCATTGAGAGGGACCAAGATGGTGAAGATTAGAAATGAGAACATTACAGCGACAGCTCAGGTTGACTGATTTAGAGACACAGTTAGAGAGCAAGGCTGAGATGGTTTGGACATGTGCAGAGGAAGGATAGTGGATATACTGGGCAATATGTTAACTTTATTTCATGTCTCATTATGATCTGATAAACCACAGCTGAAGCTCTGCACTTTTAATGCAGTATTCATTATTGCATTTAGTTTAAAAAAAGAGCTGTGTAACTGCGAAAATATTTGCATTCTGGACTATCAAACGCTGTTGTGTTAATAAAGTCTTCCTTTCTCCAGACATGTATGACCAGATATTAAAGTTTGGGGCCTACATTGTTGATGCTCTGCGTGATTTCCGCCAACCAGTGCTGGTGTACATCCCACCACAGGCTGAACTGAGAGGGGGTTCCTGGGTGGTGATAGACCCTACTATCAACCCACTGTGTATGGAGCTCTATGCTGACAGAGAGAGCAGGTACATGAAGAAAAGTAACGCTTCAAATCTTAGAAATGGATGGATTTTGAGGGTAAGTTTGACGTTTATGCTTCTGGGTATGCTTTTTCTATTCAGAGGGGGCGTGTTGGAGGCTGAGGGTACAGTGGAGATCAAATACAGAAGGAAAGACCTCCTGAAAACCATGAAAAGGCTGGATTCGGTCTATGCTAGTCTGGCTGAGCAACTCGGTAAAGCCTCTTTCTGTCTCAAGTCTAAATATTTGAACTTTTTTTTCCCCATTACAAGAGAGCTGACTCAGAGCTCTTCTGTTTAAAAGCTTCCCCAGACCTGTCTGACAAAGAGTGCAAAGAGTTGGAGGCAAAACTCAAAGCGAGGGAGGAGTTCCTGTTGCCCATCTACCACCAGGTGGCAGTGCAGTTTGTTGATCTCCATGACACCCCAGGCCGGATGCAAGAGAAAGGGGTCATTAATGTGAGTGTGCACTTCATGAACAATTTTTGTGTGTGTGTGTGTGTGAGAGACCAGGAATTACAATGGAATCCAAGCTTTTCAAACTTATGCTACTGCTCCCTTTTGATTCTCTTAACAGGATATTTTGGACTGGAAGAATGCTCGCAGCTTCTTCTACTGGCGCCTACGTCGCCTCCTGTTGGAGCAGGTGGTAAAGAGTGAGATTCTACAAGCCAACAAGGATCTCAGCGACGGGCACATGCAGTCCATGCTGCGTCGCTGGTTTGTTGAAACAGAGGGAACAGTGAAGGTATGTGAGAACAGCAGTTGCTGCACAAAATTCAATTTGCTCTGTTTGTTTTTGTTTTTGTTTTTTTGTTTTTTAAAATGCAGGTATTAGAGAGTAGGTTACTTTATTTACATTAAAATTTTTGAATTGTCAAAGATTTTAAATCATCAAACTGAAATTATGAGACTTATTTACTGCTCATCCGAGTCATGTCTAGTAAAGTTGTTTTTTTTTTGGCTGTGGATCACAGATCATGAGCAAGTCATTATATATTCCATGCATCACTGTTCATAGGTTTAAAGACATGTTCTCATGCTTTTTCAGGCTTACCTTTGGGATAATAATCAAGCAGTAGTTGAGTGGCTTGAGAGGCATTTGTCCCAAGAGGATGGCATCAGGTCAGCTGTTCGAGAGAACATCAAATACTTGAAAAGAGAAAACACTTTGAAACACATTTGCAGGTATGGAGACGCACACAGAACATTAGTTTATTACATCTCAATAAATTCATAAAAGGAGCTGGACTGTGTACATAATTAAGTGTTTTGGTCAGAATGACTTATCACATTTGATCATGTTTGAGTAAAATTACCTGCAGAGTTGCATTATTTTTAAGGGAACCTGAATCAGTTCCCAGTATTTTTCCGGAAACTCTGTGAAAGCCTCGCTTACATTCTGAGTTTGGCAAAGTAATTTAATACCTGTGGAGTGATGGTGGTGATAGACGATCAAACCGACCTTCTTGATTATAATTGATGCCACTGAAAACAATATTTTCTCCAGCCACATGCAAATATAGTTTGGTACACTACTACATACATACATACTATATACACTACTATTACACATTAGTATTAGTCACACAGCCTGAACTCTCTTAGACAAGCTTTATTGTCATTTCTTGTAGTCATCAGTGTGAGAACATGTTTAAAAGACAACTTCCCCTTGTGTCTAGTCTGGTCCAGGCCAACCCTGACGTAGCCATGGACTGCATCATCCAAATGAGCCACATCATCACTCCGTCTCAGAGGGCCAAGCTGTCACATCTACTGGCGACTATGGACAGCACCAGCGATAGTTAACATATGATGCCTTATAGGGATGAACTAAAACAAAACTCGGTGAATCTTGCGTTTAAGATTACAGTTCAGGTATTTTAAAAAAAATAGTGCACAAGGAGAGCGTGTCCTAAACTTTTGTTCTACTGAGTGCCTTCCCGTTTGAAAATGTTAGTCTTTCACATTGTTCATTTATGCACTCACTCACTCAGTCCAGGAACACAGTTTCCCAGGAACACAGTTTCCCAGCCCCCAGGCTATCACTGTGATGCACATTTCACTTTGCTGTATTTCTGCACAAGTTTAAGTGTTGAATTTGCCTTACTCGACTATTTCCAGTCTAATGAGCCTGAAGTTATTCAGACTTCATGAAATGGAAGACTTAATATGTCGGTGCTAGTTATCGTTGTTAAAGATATTACACCAGGAATGAGCTTTCACTTTTGAATGTAATCAGTCTAAAAATAAGCTTTAAACTGCCTGTTAGTAATTTGATAATTATTCAAATAAAACCAAAACACCGTTAACCGTCAGTTCTGTCTTACTTGTACTTTGAGTCAATAAATAAAAGTTTGACTATTATTGCGATCAAGAATATTAAATATTAAAATAGCTTATTTTATCAAGCAGGTTATGATTTTACTCCTGACGTTTGACTTCAGTCCATCTAGTCTGTTTGTGGTATGTTTAGGTGGATTTGCACAGTATTATGAACGATGGTGTGACACTGTGTACTCAGCACCTCATTTGTAAAACTCAGGTTTTGTGAAAAATAGATGGTATTTGCCAAAAAGGTCATAAAAGCCTTACCTGTGATTAAAACACCAGAAACACAAGCCGTGACGTTTCATTTGAATGTATATAAACGATTTTTGCTATGACTTGTATTTTACCAAAGGCTGTACTTTAATAAATATCATTGATGTATTTAAATATGAAGAAGCTTCTTTTATTTACCCATTTGACTTTTATTATGATCAAGTTAGTGAACGTAAGATGTACCAGACCTTCAGAAATGTTAATCCATGTGTAAAATGATAATGTGTGAACAGGAAGTGTTGGAATAAACAGGAAGTGTTGGCAGACCTTCACATTTGGGAATGAAGTCGGAAAGCTTTTCTGTGGTGATAGCAATTTGAAACATTCAAATATATACAGCAAAAACATTGATAGAGTCATTACTTTCTCCAGCTGTCTTTTTATAAATATAAATAAAACATCACAGCAAAAATGTCTAGCACAATACAACAGGCAAGAGTAAGGGAGCTACATTTATGGAAAGGCTTTAAAATGCAGTGTGAACAGTAGAAAAACTGGTGTGTACTAACACTCGTGTTCTCATACAGGCTTTCAGTCTTTGCTTGGCAAAACCAGATACTTGCAGTCTTGCTTTGTCTTTCTTACAGTCGTCTCTTTTTCACTTCTCAGTGAGTTTTTCTGCGGGCTCCAGGTGGTTCTCCAGCTGTGATACTTTCAGTCGGACAGAAGAAACCAACATTTAGACTTTGATTTCAGGCCTCCTTTAAAAGTATCCAGACAGTGGAATCTATTAGAAACAGTTTGGCTGGTTCAGAGCAGGGCAATAGGCTTGCTGTTAGATGGTGCTCCCATGTACTGGGAAGACAGGGCATCTTGGGAAGCGTAGGAGGTGTAGAGCCCCGTCACCTGCACGTCTGACAGCGACAGGTTTGCGCCACTGGAGACGGGAGGGAGATTGGCTGTTCCCAAGTCACAGTCTGATAGTCGGAGAGGCGAGTTACTGAAGGTGCCTAAAGCATCCAGGTTAAAGCTGTCGTCCTTCATTTCTTCCCACAGATTACCTGAGCACATGGATGGAGAGGTTGGTGTAAGCATGTAATGACACCATAAACAAATACCAAGCCTTAATTTTAGAAGAAGTTGTTACCTTGCAGGGCAAAGTCCATGATGCTCGGGTCCAGAGCGTCCACCTCTGTGTGAGCGTCCCCTTGCATGTTGTAGAAATCATCAGGGGGTTTGCTGGGCTGTTGGGTGAGCGGACTGTGGGACAGGTCGGGGACTGTGTGGAGAGGGGGAGTCTGGGCTGGGGCAGGGGACATGGGGGCCAGTCGAGCCTGAGCCTGAAGCTGGGCCTGAAGCTGGTGGTGCTGGTGCATGGGTAAACACGGCAGGGACAGCGTGACTATAGGTTGAGGTTGCATTTGGGCTGGGACTGGCAGTGGGAGGGCATTTGGACAGCTGTTCAGCCGGGTCATGCCTGGCTCTAAAGGCTTTCGTCTGCAGTTCTCTGGGCGATCTGTGATCAGCTTGTCCAGCTCATCTGTAAGGACAAAGACAGGCTGTCAGGTCAAGCAAAAGTGTGGCCTGGTCAGATTTGTGACAGACCTGTTGCCTCATTAACTGTTTGGTCTTTTATATTTAACAAAATACATTTCTGACCAGGGTTAGCCATGCTGCGCCGAATGGCTGGGAGGTCCTTGCGTTTCCACTTCTGCATCTCTTCTTCCATCTTGTCAATTTTGGCGGGGTTCAATGCCCATAAGCAGCCCTTACGGGATGAGCTGCTCGTCTTGTTCTCCACCTTTTCGAAGCATTTGTTTAAGGAGAGGTTGTGTCTGACTGAATTCTTCCATCCATCAGGTGCAGTCTGCAAGCAAAGAGGTAGAGCCGCTTCTTATTTACAGGCAAGTTCTAGTTTTAGCCTTATTTGATAACATTCAGAGTACTGTACCTTGAAATAAGGGAAGTGTTCCTTCATAAAGCTATAGATCTCACTGACTGGGAGGCTGCCAGTTTTGCTGTTCTTCAGAGCCATGGCAATCAAACAGCTGAGGGAGGGGACAAAAACACATTTCCAAGCGAACTGAGGTAGAAATATGGACACTTGCACACTTTGCGATTCATAAGTCATAAATTTTGTGCCAACAGCTAAAAATGTTTAGTTGTGAATATTTTTATTTTAAGTAAGGTTTTGAGCACTGACCTGTAAGAGTAGATTGGCTTGGGGAAAGACTTCGGCTGCAGCTCCTGTTCTTGTGGAGCCAGGCGAGGTTGTGTGAATAGACTTTGGTTGTTGAATGAGACATTGCTATAGAGTCCACCAGTTGTACACTGAGAGAGAGAGAGAGGTGTGAATACTGAGGATCTGATGACCTTTTTTTAACCATAAAAACAAGTATTTTCATTAGCTTAACGTATAATACCTGCTGTCCAGTTTGGCTTAAAGAGTACACCTGCTGGGATGTGGGTTGGTAGACTGAGGTAGGGCACTGGTATCCTGGAGAAGGCAGCCCATTCATTGAGAACGGAGACATCTGGGAAATAAACATAGAGACAGGTCATTTTATATTAAAGTAAGCACTGTCTAACATAAAGAACACTTTCTTACTGTCCCGTGAAAACTTACATTTCCACTGTGGGTGTTGATGATACTGATTCCCAGAGGGCTGTGCTGCATATTGCTCTGGAGGTGGAGCATGGAGCCCTGACTTGTGGTCATAGTCATGTTGTTCATCTGAGCTGTAATGACAAACAGATGTCAGAGTTCCCTGTTTTTCATGCAGATGTTGTGCTCATGAATTATTTGGAAGACATTTTCTGTAACCAGTGATGGTAAAATGAAGCTCAGTAGTATTTATACCATACACATGAAGCTCACATATCAAGATAAGTGTTCAGAAGCAAAGCTCTGATTTTTCTTTACACTGACATTATAAAAGGAAGTTGGTGAACTTTTCTCTGGTGGATGTTTTGTTTTTGTTTTTTGTTTTTTTTTAAAAAGACCAAAGTTTTACATGAAGACCTCAGGATACTTTAATCTGGACCCTGGTGTGGAGCTGATTGGATTTTATCCTTATATGGTAGAGAAGGAGGCTGGGCTTACAAGCACTGGGTTCTGTTTGTAGAAGCAGGCAAGGGGCAGCCAATAAGGAGAAACTGGACTTGATCTCTTGAAGAAGAGATCAAGTCTAAATCAGATATCAGCTGAAATATGAACCATGCAAAACTACTCGAGTCAGTTTCCAGAATATGAGCCTAACAGGGGGCTTTAAAACAGAATTTAGTGCTACATATGTCATTTATAGGCCTTTACAGAAAAAAAAACAATAACTTTACTTTGACATAGTGGCTGGTCTTGTTTAGTCAACAAGTTTATACAGGGCTGAGGAAAAACTGAGAGTTTAGACCTGATCACCATAGGTATCAAAACATTGTAATCTCTAAGATTAACTATTTCTGTGATTGTAGATTTATAGATGGGCAATCCCCAGTGGCACCAAAGCAACCTTGATCTTTTGAGGGGGTCCTCTATAACTTTTGCAAAGAAAACAACGAACCAGAAGAATCCAGTAGCCCTGATCTATCCAATCAGAGAGTTTTATCAGATTTTGAATGTTGCACTGTCCCCTCCCTGTCACCTTACCTGTCTGTTGCTCCAGCAAGCTGCCCTGGGAGGGCCCATTGCTGTGGCCTCTGCTATCAGCCATCTGCTGCAGCCGGGGCACATCCACAGAGGTGAGCCATGACAGAGACTGCAGGTCCCCAGGGAGGTCCTCCTCCCTCAGTTGGGAGGGGTCCGTGGTCAGAAGCCTTCAGGAGGGGAGGGAAGAGGGGGAGGTTTGCAGGGTTAACACGGCTGTCAGCCCAGACACACACAGACCACAAGTGGAATTTAAATCTAAACACTCGATGCAACATCCTGTCCTTCAGACAAAACCTCTATAATGAGTCTGAATGTGGGGTACATGTGGGGATGAAAGCTGCTCGGTGAGTGCGTATTAACCATTGAGGATTTACCATAAGAAGATTACCTACAAGTGTTATTTAACAGTGACAGTTTTAATCAACAAAGAGGGACTTAAATATGCTTTTCATTCACAGCAAATCATCTGTTTACATTATCGTGGATTTTTTGGTTTTGTTGTTTTGCTCGAGTGGCGCAATGAGCTTTGTTTCCCTCTCGCCTTTTAATTCTGGATTCTTCTGCTATGCAAATTTACAAAACAAACAAACAAACAAACAAAAAAAATCATTTCATACACATTACTTTTCATCAAAGAACAGTTTTCAGTCAATCATTTAATACATTTAAACTTAGAAACTGGATTAATTCAGGCTTTCTGTTTGCCCAGAGCACTACCAGTATCAATCAACTTTCAGTTATTGTGTCTTTTATTATGGCGAGCCCTGAAGAGAAGGAAAGAAAAGAGAGGAATCCTCTTGAATCCTCTCCAGTCTTCTCTGCACACACACTTACTGTGCAAGGGTTCAGTAATTGGGGTCGCTATGACAACACATGCTATTCAGTTACTTTGTGTGTCTGTGGACAGTGCAGGAACCCCCCCAATCCCTCCATTGACACACACCAAATCTCCTAATAAAAAAAATCAACCCTGTGTCAGGTGACCACGGTCTCGCCTTAGCCATTGGCTGAATCATAAGTAAACAACGCAAGAGATCGTTTCAAACATGGGACAGCAGCACATGTTGCCTGCAACAGTTGGCCTTGTCTATTGAAAAATGATCACCTATTGTGTCCTAAACGACAAATCTGCCCAGTGGCACGTGGCTCCATTGTCTTCTCCAGACCCTTCCTTGATTGTCTCTGTCATTTCTTTTCTTTACCCGCCCTTGCATTAATCTGTTGGAATGACAGCCCTCACATAAGAGGGACAAATAGGATGCCATCTGCTTCCCTGTCCCTTTCCAGCCTCTATCCCCACAGCCCCCCAACCCCCTCCATCACCCCCCAGCCCTTATCGGGGAAATCAACGGAGCCTCAGGCCAAAGGGGGGCTGCAAGTGTAGTTTGAGGTCAGGGTTCTATGTCGGCCATCTGAATGAGTGACATCATTACGGCCAAGAATCAGCAGCGCACGTTGTCAAACACCTTGCATCCACATCCACAAAGGTTGAAGCTAGTTAACCTTTCTTTGTCCCTTTTGTTTGTTTTTT